TATAAGTGCAAGCCTGTTTGTAACATTATTTTCCTTATCACGTTTATATAAGACTTAGAACTCTTGAACATCAGCAGGCTACTCAGGCACTTTTACAATTTTAACTATGGCTCTGTTAAGCTCTCAGCTCAAAAAACTTTGGTATTTTTCTAAGTATACTCTGCTCAAGAAGTTTTAGTCTTCATTTAAGCTTATTTTCTGGATGCCAAGAGTAGATTACACAGCTGATAGTTTTAACTCAGCTATAAGCTAATGGTGAAGAGGTGAGATACTAGTGAACCAAAGGCAACCCCGGTATGAAATAAATGTGTCTATCATGGAGAAGGGTAAGTTAAGAAAACTCATTAGAAAGACTTACTTTCTGCACAGAACTGACAAAACCATGCCTTTTAGCCATCAACCTGGACTAAAATCTCTGCAACATCCTAGTACCTATAGCCGTGTAAACAAGTCTGCGTCGTGCGTCCTTACAGCCTCAGCTGAGCAAAGCTAGCATTTAACCATGTACATCTTACTTCATACCATTTTGCTTAACATCTTTCCATCTAAGAGGTGTACATCAGGATGTATTATTTCCGACAAATGAACTCTCTAAAAAATATGTGGCTGTTTAATTCTTAACTTTGTAGTTCAGCTTTTACCCTGTTGGAAAGACATGGCTTTAAGAGTAAAAATTCCACCACAATCTAGTCATAGTGAGATCTTTATTTAAAAATCCCATTTGCCAACTTAGCGTTTTCCACCAACTCGGGGAGCAGAAACCTTCACAGGCTTCACAATCTTTTGCTTAGGTGCCGCCTTTGTGGGAGCCTGTAAAAAGATAACATGTTATGTGGCATTATTCCATATGGGTTTTTTTCTCAATCACTCCTCTCTTATGCCCAGATTCTGTTTGTATCCTAGATTGCTTTCCTAATATTAAGAAAGCTACTCAAAAGTTAAAGGTCCACCTTTATATGAAATATAAATGAAAGACAATCAAAGATATCACAGACTGAAGAGTTAAGAGACAAATAAATGTAGTGTGGGAACCTGAACTGCATCCTAAGGACAGAAAAAGGACCAATGTTAAGTTTCTAGTTTTGAAAATTTTACGAGTTATCTAATTTATTAACACTGAGAAAAGCTGCATAAACTTTACCATTAAAGCTAGAGTTATTTCAAAATGAACTTTAAAAAATTTTTATTTTCCCCTTTCCAATTTCTTTTTTAGCAGTAACAGACTCATTTGGCTCTAGCAAAGGGACCGCTCTGGAGACCTGAATCACTCACCCAGAAACCAGTTATGGATATCATTTCCATCAGAGTTTTGCACTAAATTCCTTAAACTGAAACTCCCATTTGCCACAGTTTGGATTAAAAAAAAATTTCCTGTCATTTTAAATGAGAAATCCAAGACAATCCCACAATTACCTTTGCAGCAGCCATTGCTGTCTTTTTAGATGCTTGCTTAGCCTTTTTTGCTTCCTTGGCAGCCCTGTGGGGTTAAAAATAATTTAAGCAAGGCACTTTGCTCCTTAATGGAATGGCTTATTAACAAGACATTAGTCTTTTGGGAAAGTAGAATTATCAGATTCCTTCTGCATCTGCAATTATTTGTAGGATAAATCCAAAGGATTTGTTAACAAATGTCCTTAACCACCAAGTCAGCATAACACTTATTAGAAACTGTACAGCACCTTTATATAATTGCATATAGAATTTCAACAAGTCATTTAGACTATATTATAAACATCTGTATTATTAAACCTGAATATTTACATTTGACAATCCCTATATAGATGCAAGTATCAAAACACAAAATAACATCAGATAAAGATTCCTGTACCTAGAAACCCAAACATAACCTAAAATCCACCCCCAAAGCTGAAATGCTCGTAACGAAGGCTTCCTCACCTGATAGCCTGTTCTCGTTGAGCCTTCCTAACTTCAGGTTTCTGATTCCTCTTTGCCATTATATCAGCAAGAGATGCACCAGTTATGGCCCTCTGGAATTTGACTGCACGGCGAGTTCTTTTCTTTTGAATTTCTTCCTGCAGAACGAAAAGATGGAGCACACACTTAGAAACCTTGCTTCGTGAATGTGGGGGAGAAAGTCTTTTAAGATTTATATGTATCCTAGTCCACCTGGGCTGCTATAACAAAATACCAGACTATAAAAGAAATTTACTTCTCATAGTTCTGGAGGCTGGAAGTCAGGGTACCAGCATGATTAGGTAAGGACCCACCTCCTATTGTAACTGTATTATCACATGTCAGAAGGAGACAAAGGAGCTCTCTCTTGGACCTTTTTAAAAATAAGGGCACTAATCCCATTCATGACAACTCTGCCCTCAGGACTGTATCACCTCCCAAAGGTCCCATCTCCTAACCATCACCTTGGGGATTCGGTTTCAACATAAATTTTGGGGGGAACACAATTCAGACCATAGCAAAATTCCACCAAAAATAATTCATGTAATTATCTGAAATATTTACAAATTAAAAAAATATATATATATAAGACTGCGATATGCAGGTATTTTCCCAATATGGTTTAGTTAAGTCATCTATTACAAATCCTGGTCTTTACTACTTCATTTAGAAAGACAAAAAGTTAAACTCTAAGAAAGGTAACTGAATAGTACTTTAAAAGTTTTTTAAAGAAGACTTTACAATAAAGAATTTATCAAAAAACGGGGGTGAGGGTATAGTTCAAGTGGTAGAGCATATGCTTATTAGCATACACAATGTCCTGGGTTCAATCCTCAGTACCTCCTCCAAAAATAAATTACACCCCCCAAAATTAATAAAATAAAAAAAGGATTTATCAAAAAAAAAAAA